GAGGACTGCAGGGAACTGGGTGGTTCTGGAAAATTCTTCCTGGTGTCCTCTTTGGCTGTCCTCGATCCTTGGTCCTTTCTGGGTGGAGCCAGGTCATCTGGCCACTGCCCTCTCCAAGGCAGGGTCCTCAGCATGGTCAGTGGATGACCCGAGAGAGTCACGTGCACAGAACTGGGTGACACAGGAGGTGCTAGGTGGCTCTTCATTTGACACCCCCTTTGCTGGTAACCATTAAGACAGTCTCCCTTTCCTCAAGTGACAGCAGGAACTAAAGGTCATGTGACTTTTTTTTTTTTTTAACTGGGGATTGAACTCAGGGTCACTTGACCACGGAGCCCTGTCCCCAGCCCTGTTTTGCATTTTATTGAGAGACAGGGTCTCATTGAGTTGCTTAGGGCCTCGCTTTGGCTGAGGCTGACTTTGAACTCACGATCCTCCTGCCTCAGCCTCCTGAGTAGCTGGGATGACAGGTGTGGGACACTGAGCCTCTGGGCCTCTTAATCTGTCTTGTAGATCATTCCAAATCAATATACAGACTTGGTTCTTCACTTTTAAAGTCTACACAGTATGTCGGAGTAGGTGTAGATATCAGTAGTGTCCTACTAGTAGGGTTTGGTTGGTTTGAGGTCTTTCACTATTTCTGACAGTACTGGAGGGACTAGCGTGTCCTATCATCTTGACTTCCATGTGGGTTTGGATCAAGTCCTTAGTGACATTTGCTTTATTTCTCTTTTTTCTTTTCTGGTTCTGGAGATTGAACCCAGGGGTGCTTCACCACTGAGCCCCATCCCCAGCCCTTTTTATATACAGGGTTTCACGAAGTTGCTTAGGGCCTCACTAAGTTGCAGAGGCTGGCCTCCAACTTTGGGTCCTCCTGCCTCAGCCTCCGGAGACATGTGCTTTCTTCCTGAGCCTCACACCAGTCCTGCAAGATGAGACACAATGACCCCACTTCTACACACGAGAAAAGAGAGACTCCGAGACAGTGACCAGTCCACGCGGAAGTGGGATTTCAATGAACAAAGTTTATTACTATGTACACGTGTGGTAGGTGTGGTTCCCGGGGAGGCAGAGAGGTCCTGGTCTCCTGTGGCCATCAGGGCGTTTCCCTCGAGACAGTCTCTGCGGCTGCTGCCCAGAGTGTGCCGAGGAGAAGGTGGCTGAGAGGAAGGTCACCACAGACCTGGGGGCATTAGGAGAAGCCCCTCGATGGCTGATTTGCTTCCCTGAGCCAGGGGTCTTTAGTGTCGCTGTGCAGAGGGAATGGCAGGTGTCCGGCTTGCTTGGGGAAGCGGAGGCTCAGTAACTTGAGTTCCCAAAGGTGGCACTGGGGTGGTGGTGGGGGTGGTGGGTAGATGCTGGGTGATGCGGTGTGCTGAGGAGCCCCGAGCCTAGGGAGCCAGCCACAGCCACATGTCACTCCGGGAACGCAGCCAGTGGGGGTCCTCAAGTGCTACCCATGCACGAGGTGATGGGCAGGGACACCTCTCTTCACCAGACCCCTTCTAGGGCACCCTCTTTAGTAGCTACATGTGGGGACATGTTGGCTGGCACTTACCACCCAGGGGGACCCACCCGCTGCCTGTCTCTTAGGGATGGAAAGTGGCCTGTCCCTCTCTCTAGGAGGGACCTTATCTTATTCCCTCCTGGAGCGTCGACATGTGAAGTCCCCCGGCCCCTCCTTCCCCAAGCTCCGTGACGCCCCCCCTGGTATTCACTCCCTGCCCTTCTCTGAAGGCCAGCCTTCACGGCTCCCAGGGGGAGGCCCAGACAGGAGGCCAGAAATGGGGGGCCAGGTGGGGACCCTCTCCCACATGTAGCCAGCAGGCACTAGACGGATCCCATGTCACCCAAGGGGGGTTCCATTCAGGGTCTGTGGCAGGACTTGGGGACCTAATGGTCCTGCAGCCACCCAAGAAGGGGACAGTGGGGCTTAGGGGCAGAGGCCGAGGTGCACGCTGTGTGGGAGAGGCCGGGGCACCGGGTGGGGCTGGGGCACCAGGAGGCTGGGGTGCAGACCTTTGTTCCAGACCCTCGGGTTCATGCCGCACTGTCCCCTGCAAGTGACCCCTGTTGCTTTTGGTGTGTGTCCAGGGTGGCTCTTTCCTATCCTGCGCCCTGGGCAGGCCTGTGGTCACTGGAGGGCTGCTGGGGCGGGACTCACCCTGGGACGGGGATGGACCTGGTGGCCACCAGCTTCTTCTGCAGGGGCAGCAAGTCCCTCGGGGGGGGGGTGTTCCTGCTGTCCCAGACTTTCAGGGACTCGGTGGTGGGCTCTGTCAGCCACGAGAACCTGCAACACGCGTCCTCGTGTGGAGGTGGCCCCCGAAGGCGCGCTCGCTCTTCTGGAACTTTCTACCTGCTGGGCACCCTTCTGCATGCTTGACCTGGGCACCTCTCTGGAGGCCCCTCAGCCTGGGCTGGGACAAGGCGGGGGGACAGTGGGCGACAAGGCAGCTCCAGGCTGTGAGCACAGCAGGGCTCCTAGGGCCTGGGCACGGGGGACTCCGCCCCTCGAACGCCCTGGAATGTCCTGGTGGCGGGGCCGGGGGCACAGGGGACCTAGGGGTCTGGGCTTCGGGTACCTGTATGGAAAGTTGTTGGTGAATCTGTCTTGGGCTTTGCTCTTGGGTTTCTTATGTTGGGGACACTTCTTGTGGGTTCTTGGTTCCATGGTGCAGGGTGTCAGGACGGGACCCTCTTAGCCATGGCTGGAAGGCAAGGGGTGACCTCTAGGGAAGGGCAGGGATGGGACACAGCGCTGCAGAGGCCCCGCTTAACTCTCCCCCTCCGTGGAGGACATGCCAACGTCACCTCCAGATTTGGGGAGGGACAAGGAGGCTCCGAAAGACCTATGCCGGGGGACAGGAGGGCTTCAGGTGGGTGCTGGACTACATGGCCTCAGAAAGTTTGGGGGGCCAGAACCCAGAGGTCCCTCAAAGCCATTCCATGGTGGCCATCCTAGTTGCCTATGTCGGGGGGACGGGCCTAGCACCTTGACTCCTTCGGCTTCCCGGGGGCAGGAGTCCGGGGCAGCCCTCTGACCTCATGGGCATCCACTCTACCACTGGCCACTCGCTGCTCCCCAAAGTGACTTGGGGCTGTCCTTCCCGGCCACATGGGCTGCCGGAGCTCACCAGGCAGCCCCGTCCCCAAATCTGAGCGCGATCATGGTGGGGCGAGGGTCAGAAAGTCCGGGAAGGACAACAGGAGGGTCGCTATGGTTTCCCCAAGGCTGGACCCCTGGCCACAGGCCTCCCTCGGGAGGCTCAGCCGGAAGGGAGGCCCAGCCCCGGGGGGGACCTCAAGCAGATGCGGGGCCACTGCGCTCTGGTTAGGAGAGGCCACAGGGGCGGACGTTGACCATGGTCCTCACTGCCACCCCACGGAGGGAGCCTGCACTCCATGGCTCTGGCCAGGCAGGGCCCCTAGAAGCCTCTGAGGTCACAATCAGGGCAGCAGCTGGATCCTGGGGTTTGCTGGCCCAGGGAGTGACCGTGGACAGCAGTGAGCGGGTGGAGACGTCACTGTGGCTGACCTGTCCTATCGGACCTTGTCCCGACCTGAGCTCCAGCCCCCAGGTACCACCAGGTTGGGGTCTGGCCTGGGCCTTGGGCTCTGCAGCCTGAATTCCTGTCTCCTGCTCCTCTGCTCCCTAGTGACCGTCATCTGCCAGGGGACACCGTTAGTACCACCTAAAGGGCTATGGGGGGCATCGGATGTGGTCACACATGTCACATGCCTCCAGCCAGGCTCACCAGGAGACTTTTAAAGGGGCATAAATCGAGATGTTCCAGGGGACCTCACCAGGGCTGTGCAAATCTTCAACTTAACTTTAGGTTTGCCCATTTCCCCTCTGGGCCGGAGGATCCTGCCAGCTTCCTAGAGAGTGGCTTGAAATGCACAGCAGGAAAGGACATCTTTGGTGACACACGTACTGGCTGGGGTCACGGGGGCTCAGACACTCCCTCGGGCAGCCCACTTATTTCAGTGAATAGATTCTGGAAACTTCTTCTTCCACCATTTTCCAAACTGTCACTCCACGTCTTTCATTTTTAGTGGTTGAGTAGATTCTATGATATGGACACACCACCGTTTGCTTAATCATTCACTCATTGAAGGACATTTTTGGTCCTTCCTACTTTGGGGCCCTTGAGAATAAAGTGGGTTGGGTGTGGTGGCTCAGGACTGTAATCCTAGCTACCTGGGAGGCTGAGGCAGGAGGATCGCACGTTTGAGGCCAGCCTCAGCAACTCAGCAGGACCCTGTCTCAAAATAAAAATTTAAAAAGGACTGGGGGTGAGGCTCAGTGGTAGAGTCCCCCTGGGTTCCATCCCCCCCCGCCAGTACAAAAGAAAAAATCAATAAAGAGATGTAAATGTTCACACATACACACAGAGAAATGAACACAAACCTTCATTTCTCTGGGATAATTGCCTATCCATTGAGTTTTCATTTCCACTATCAAAGGAAGGATTTTAGGGCTGTGGCTGGGGCTCAGTGGTAGAGTGCTTGCCTAGCATGCATGAGGCACTGGGTTCAATTCTCAGCACCACATGTAAATAAGTAAATAAAATGAAGGTCCATCAACAAATAATAAAAGTATTAAAAAAAATCATGGAGGATTTTCGGAGAATTCTGAAACTAGTATCACCCTAAAGCCCAAAGCAGCAAAGACCCATCAGGGAAAGGAAACTTTCAACCAATATCTTTCATGAACACAGATGTAAACATTCTTAAAAAAAATATTGGCCAACTGCATACGAAAACACATGAAAGAGAGAGCGCACCATGATCAAGTGGGGTTCATCCCAGGGATGTAAGGTTGGCTCAACATACAGAAATCAATCAATGTGATTCGCCACATCAAAAGACAATAATCACATGATTATCTCAATAGATGCAGAAAAGGCATTTAACAAAGTAGAGCACCCATTCATGTCAGAACAACTAGGGATAGAAGGAACACCCCTCATAATGTAAAGACTGTGTATGAAAAACCCAAGCCATTTGTGAATGCAGACAACTGAAAGCATCTCTTCTAAAGACAGGAGCAAGGCACGGATGCCCACCGTCACCACTCCTATTTAACACGGTCCTTGAGACGCTAGCCAGAGCAATTAGGTAAGAAAAGGAAATTCAAGGGATACAATCAGGAAAAGAAGAGCTTAAATCATCTCTGTTTGCCAACACCACGATCTTGTCTTTAGAACACTCCAAAAAACCCCACCAGATTTCTAGAACTCATAAATGAATTCAGCAAAGTATCAGAATGAAAAATCAACAGCAGATTCATCATTGGAGTATAGGAATATGAGTGTTTTAAAAGTGGCCACACTCCCCCCCAGCGAGCTACAGTTTCAGTGCAATCCTTATCACAAGGCCGGTGATATTCTTCATGGAAGCAGAAAAAGATCCTAAAAATTCATATGGAGATGCAAAGACCTGGAGTAACCAAAGCCATCTTGAACAAAAGGAAGAAGTCAGAGGACATCACCGTACCTTGTTTCAAAACGTATCCCAAATCCACAGTAGTTCAGACAGCAGGATATTGACATAGAAACAGACACGCAGACTAACGGAACAGGCCAGAAATGCACCCACACACCTACAGCCAAATGATTCTCAAGAAAATCTCCCCAGACGTACAGAGGATAAAATATTGCCTCTTTAATAAATGGTACCAGAAAGACTGGATTAACATGGTAGACTGAAAAGCAACCTGCTCTCTCTCAAGCCACCCCAGAATCACACTAAGATGGGTCAAAGACCAACACGTAGGACCTGAAACTGTAGCAGGACATGGGTACATGTAGGTTTTCTGGAAGGACCTCCAAAGCTCAGAAAACAAAAGCAGAGCAAACACTAGATCTTCAGCTCCCTGCCCAGGGCACGTGTGATCTCCAAAGGGCTTAAGGGTCTCCTCACAATGACCCTGCTGGGTGTAGCACACAGGCCTCTCGGCAGGCAGCCCCTAGCAGGCAGCCCTCATCCCTGGCATCTCTGCCCTCCTGAGCCCCCTTGGCAGCCCTGCTCCCCTCTCACAGCTGCGTCCACCTCTTCTGCTACTAGCGAGGACTCTGACATTGCGCACACTAAGCAGCATTGTACGAGCAGTTGCACCTGCAGTTTCTTCTCTGAGGAGAGTCTTCTTTGAAAAGTTGACACCTCTGAGCCTGCCATGGATGGCTTCTTGTTGATTTCTGATAGACCCTCAAAGCATCTTTCTTACCGTCCTTGTGCAAAGTACTCGGCTTCTTTTAAAATAGTGTCATCTCATTAGTGACCCTCTCCTCCTTGATAGGACCTTTACAAGAACGTCTTTTCTGGCCAAACGGTGGGGGCTTCCATATCTTTCTGATCTGCTTTTTTTTGGCTTCCAATCCTCATCATGAATCTGGCTTAAAGAGGCCAGCTGTGCTCAGGCCACAGCCTGAATGCTTGTGTTACCTAGAAATGTCCTCTGCCAGTTAATGACCCCATCACCTTTAAACTCAGCCTCCCACACAGTTTTGGGAGCATGAGCCAAATGTGGACAAGTTCTTTGCCAGAATTGCACGGGTGGCCTGTCCTGATCCCCAGGAGAACTCTCACTCCTGTCTGAGGCCTCATGAACACAGTCTTTACTGTCCGCACGCCCGTCAGTGCCAGTTTGGTTTTGAGCCCACACAATGATCACCCGTGAAGCTCTGCCTGTGGAATTCTAGAATTTCCCTAGCCTGGTCCGCCAAACTTCTTTCATAAACTAATTGCAAAGGCTTTCTGGTAGAGTCACAGAAAGGACCGCTTCTTGTGTACCACTACTGGGCAGGAACTTTTTGGTTAATTTTTCGCATCTGTGAAAAACACCAGAGAGATCAACAACTTAAAAGGAGGAAAGTATTCTTTTATTTTGGTTCACAATTACAGAGGTTGCCATCTATGGCCACTTGGCACTGTTGCTTTGGTCTGTGGTAGCGTCGTCCATCATGGTGGGGAGCGTGGGGTGGGACAAGGTGGCTTTCCTCATGGTATTCACAAAGCAGACCGGAGACAGGCAGGGGCCAGGGTCCAATATTTGCTTCAAGCACAAGCCTTCAATGATCTATGTTCCTCCTAATAGGCCTCAAGGCCTAAAGGTCTCATCTCCTCCCCACAGTGGCACAGGCTGGACATGAGTCCTTCAACACCTGGGCACCGGGCATTCCAGACCCAAATAGCACACTGTGTTAAATCAGGCTGTGCCCCAGTTGAGATCCAACTCACCGTTTTCCCTTGAAGACCCATTCAGAAATGCAAACATTTGTGTGACAGGTGACAGTATGTGGTTCCATTACTCATGATGTCTATGCCATCTATATGTATTGAGGTAAATCAGCAAAATGCAAACAACGCATTCCATATCAGAACTTTACCAAAACACAATGTATATAGAAAGGGCATGGGGGTGCCTGCCTGTCATCCAGCATCTTGGGAGGCTGAGGCAGGAGGATTGCAAGTTCGAGGCCAGCCTTGGCAACTTACTGAAGCCCTAAGGAACTCACTGAGACCCTGTCTCTAAATAAAATATAGAATAGGACTACGGATGGGGCTCAGTGGTTGAGTGCCTCTGAGTTCAATCCCCAGTATCTCTCCCAAAAAAGAGCATGTATATATATGTGTGTGGGTATGTATTTATGTATGTGAGTGTGTGATCTGCTATTTACATATAGATATATACACATACACATCACGTATGTTCTTTATGGTGTGTATGTGTGTATGTACATACAATATGTGCATATACATATATGCTCTGATGAACTGTTCTGCAGCCAGTGGCATTAGCTGATCTTACCAGAATGTATTCCTGCCTGAATCATTGAGCATTTAAGGACCTCCCCACAGGGACTTGAAGAAATTAATTATGCGTTTTTCAGTGCCGATGAACACCAAAGGACTGACTGTGGCATAGGTATGAGCCACAAAGATCTGGATGCAATAAAGAATCTGGTCATTGTTCCATATAATTCTTGAGGAGGAGATGACGTAGTCCAATATGGACATGAGCATGAAGAGTCCCATAAGCAGCAGGATGGTCCTGGTGGCCCTCAGTTCTGGGGAGGCTCTCGGGGACAGGCTGGTGCTGTGGAGGCGCTGGCACTGCCTCTTATGCCTGCACAGGAGGGCCACCATGTACCCACTGGAGGCGGCCATGAGCCCCATGAGGAAGACTTCCCGGAAAGTAGACAGGATGGACACCATCTGCCGGATCCAGTAACTGATGGGCCACACGGAGCAGGAATGGGTGGCGTCCATCAGATCCCCTGAGGTCCAGTTGGGGGTGGCAACGATGGAGACTAAGAGGTGGCTGCTAACGGACATGTACAAGACACACAGGAAAAGGAGGGGTCTCAGGCTGTTGTGTGGGGACCTGGGTTTGAACTTGGCCAAGGGGGAGCCTCTGGGGCTGAGGGTGATGGCCTGCAGGACACTCAGCAGGCAGGAGGTGCTGATGGAGAAGCCCCTCATCAGCCTGTGCAGGTAGATGACGGCTTTACAGGTGACGCCATCCCAGAATCTCCAGAGAGACATAAAGACGTCTGTAGCTATGAAGCCCGTGACGGTCAGCAACAGCAGGTGGGTCAGGGCCAGGAGAGCAATGGGCAGGTCCATGGGCTTGGGCCTGTGCCCCAGAAGGAACGAGAAAACATGGAAGAGGAGGAGGGCAGTGTGGGCCAAGATCCCAATGCCAATTTCAGACAGAAAGGTATCCCTGAGGGCAGGAATTCTGTAGAGGCCGCCTTTGCTCATTGTATGGGGGGTGGGGGAAAGTATGCTGTCAGGGTCTGTGGAGAAATGGAAGGGTGATTCCTCATGAAAAGGACAGTGGCCTTCATCAGTGGGAATAAGACTGCTCACCTCAAGGAAAGGTGGATTTTTATCTGCACAACTGTGTAGTTTATGCTTTACAAGTTCTGGTGGATTTGAATGAGGAGGATTGCAGACCAGTGGGAAGGAGGCCCCCTGAGCAGAGTCTACATAGATCAGACTTGCATAGGTTAGGGTACGTCAGTGCTGTCTTGATTACAGTGGATTGTTTTGGGGGAGGGTGCCAGGGATTGAACCCAGGGGTGCTTAACCCCTGAGCCCCATCCCCAGCCCTTTTAATATTTATTTAGAGACAGGGTCTCACTGAGTTGCTTAGGATCTCCCTAAGTTGTTGAGGCTGGCCTCCAACTTGGGATCCTCTTGCCTCAGCCTCCTGAGCTGCTGGAATGACACTACTGCGCCTGATAATGCATTTCTTTGTAATAATCACTCAGCTGTCTCCCATCTTAATACAGAGAGAATAAAATATTACTAAAAGGGAGTACTTTGGCAATCTCTGTACAGAGAACTCTGGTGGGAGTTCAGCTGTTTCTTTTGAATGCTCCAAGATAGCTACACATACTTAATTATCATGCCAGGATGATTATCCTAGAGAGTGGAGTCTACCAAATATAAGCAGAAAGTTCAATTTTTCTCCCTATTTCAGCACGTGGAATAGGGATGGGAAAAAGAAACATACTTTACATAGATTCAGGGTCGTTCCATTTTAACATCTTAATAAAAGGACAAGTGTCCGAACAGTCCCTGAAGGATGGGTATCCATGGGACTCTAAATTGTCACCTCCCCTTCCAGGAAGCAATGGTATTTCCCCACACTTAAAAAGTAACACATAAAAACTATACTAGAAAACCTGGTGAAGATGTCCTTACAGAATACATCCTGGATGGAGCTGTTCTGTGAGTTAATCCCCAACACCCAGGGCACAGATCAGGAAAAGGGTAACAATGTAGTGCAGTGACAGTCACCATGTGTCTTTCCTGTAGTTTCAGGAGAGATCTTTCTGGTCGTCCAGGGGTCTCCATTTTGTTGGTCTTTTTTTTTTTTTTTTTTTTTTTGTGTGTGTGTGCGCACACATTCTGGGGTTGGAACCCAGATAGCACTGAGCCACATCCCCAGCCCATGTCACCCTTTTAGATCACTCAAAACTGTATCACTGAAACATACAAACAAAGCAGGCATGGTGACACACGCCTGTCATCCCAGAGGCTCAGGAGGCTGAAGCAGGAGGATGGCAAGTTGGAGGCCAGCCTCAGCCACTTAGCAAGGCTCCAAGCAACTCAACAAGGCCCTGTCTCTAAAGAAAATACCAAAACAGGCTGGGATGTGGCTCAGTGGTTAAGTCCCCCTGCGTTGAAGTCCTGGTACTAATGTGTGTGTGTGTGTGTGTGTGCATAGATACACATACATATGATTTAGATTTTCTTAAATATTATACTCTATGTTTTATAAAGGATGGAATACAGCTATGGAATACATCTATGTCTGTGATATGTTATTTTTATGAAAGGAATTTCGGTGGCTAAGAGCACTTCAGAGAAAGAAGCCAAGAGCCACATTCTGGGTGTGACCTCTCCCAGCCCCGCCTCCTGACACACCTGCCCACCCAGCCTGACCTGGAGACCAGGAGACAGGTATGTGTATATATATGTTATATGTTATATGTATGATTTCACGTTACATAAGTTTTATACATATGAAAATATACATATAAAATTTTGTGTTAACTCTTTATACTAGAATGAGGATTTAAATGCATTTTTGGAGGTAACAAGGAGAGTCTGATTTGTGTATGTTGAGAGCCATCTTAGTCTTTCTGATTGATTCCTGTTTCAGATATAAGATTGTATTATGTTCACTGATATTGAGATAGATTCAGGAAATGATAGAATTTTATAAAATGATATTTAAGTAAAAGGCAAATGTCAACTTCAGAATCTGTCAAGAGCCACAGCTAACCTGAGGTCAGTCTCTGCCTCTCACCCTACTCCATGTTAGGACGGCTCCAACACAGGCCAGAAAGAAGCATACTTAAAATGTTCAAAAGAGATTTTGTTTTTGTTGTAAAGTTGACTGTGATCTCAAAATAAACAGCGATTCAATACATCTAAGTAAAGTTTGGGATAAAAAATATGCTTTTGGTTCAAGTTCTTATACAAACTGAATTCGTTTTAGCTCATGTTTACTTCATTTTGTATTTTCCCTGAACAATTTTGTAACTGTCACCTGTTGGTGTTTGGAAGAAGCACTGCTACTAATAAACCAACCTGAGTTAGGTTGAGACAATAAGCCATCACTACAGAACCGACAGACAGAATATAAAGCTGACTTCCAGCACGAACAGTGACCCCACTTAAACGGAAGGGGTCACTATAACATTATAGACATGGAGGATAACACCAGTGCGCCTACTTCAAGACTGGTGGATCTCCCCGGCTAGATGTTTGAAACCAAAACATGGAGACCAAAGTTAAGGACAGAAAAGCAATATGTTGTTCCTTGACCTCTCAGGTGGAGCAAGATTCAGGGAACAACGGGATCCTTTAAGTTCCCTACCACTCCAGTGAGTCACCTGACCCCCCAATCACAGGGACTAAAAGGACCCTAGAAAACAGGAAGCCAACCAGTGCACATGCTGCAAAAAGAAATGTCCCTGGAGAAGGAAGCAGCCCTGTTCCTGCTACCATAGGAAACCACCTGTGGTCAGCAAGACCCTGACCCGTCTTGGTAGGTGGCACAACTGGTCAAGGAAAAGCTCAAGGAGCCAAGGGATTCTCACAGGCTCCCGACATTGATCCCTGATAAACCCCGGCTGGCTCTAGCCAAAGAGAGGGAAAAGGTCCATTTTGGTATCAGTTGATTTTTCTTTTCTCATTTAAGTTGTGACTCTCCTCCTTCTTGTTATCATGGATTTCTTGGTCTTAGCCACCTGGCAGGAGAGTATGACCAAAACACAGCCGTACGTGGGCATTTAACAGATGAGACAATCATCCTTTTATTGTTTCTTGAGATGTACATTTGGGTCAGTCCTTTCCAAAGTAAGTGAAATTGGGAGGGTACACAGGATGGGTTTTTACATAGAAATGCCTAATAAATAACACAGAAAGCTCTGTCCGAGTCACAAGTGTCTTCTGAGTCAACTTGAGACCTACAGGTGTGCCTCATCTCCTGCAAAGGTGCACTTGATCTATTTTTTGGTTTGTTGGCTGGTTTGACCACGATGAGCTGCTACCCGACACCTGCTCTGGAGTTCACAATTCACATCCAGCCTGGTACTGGGTTTTAGTTACACCTGCGAAGGAGACAAGCTTCACTGGAGATGGAAAGGCCCTCACCAGGTGCTCCTGATCACCATGAAGGCTATACAAACTGCTCAGAAGGAAAGAACCCTTAACCACGGGCCATTTCCACATCAAAACGTTAATATGTCTCGGGTGTCTGGCACTGAGAATGGGTGCAAGAGCCAAAGTGAAAAGAAGACCAATAGGTCTAAAAAGAAAAAAAAAATGTAGGGCTTGTTTGAAATATAAATTCAGGGGCCCATCTTCAGAACACAAGATTCAGCCTTCATTGGGGTGTAAGATCCAGTCATGGGCAGTTTAACAATAGCTTTTGCATTTGCCCTCCCCAGTGTCAAAATCAGCCAGTTGCATGGATGGTAAGCCTGAGCTCCTCCTATCAGAGTGGGGGCAGTGCTGTGTTGGGGTGAACAGAGGTGGGCTCTCTGCACAAGAGTGCACGAGGCTGGCATGCAAGTTTCCTGCCAGGTGTGTTCTGTGGCACATCCTTCTGCAGATGCCAAGTTCACCTTGCCCGGCTACTTCCAAACACGTGCTTGACTCCTTGGGGCAGCCCAGGATTTCCAACACTATGTGGAAGATATTTGTGGCTGTTTTTTTCTTTAATGATCTTAACTTGTCCCTAGGGTAAATACTGTCCAGGTCACACAAGATCCAGATGCAGACACACTTTCTTTCTTCATAGATAGTGACATTTTTGTCCACATCCTGACGGTGTCACAGTCTGTTGAACTGAAGTTAGAATAAACTGCTCAAAAGACAGACAGCACATTCCACCATCCTTGCTAATCCAAAGTCCATGTATGAAGACCCGAATTGGTGTCAACATACTTTATATACAACCAGAGATATGAGAAATTGTGCTGTATATGTGTAATAAGAATTGTAAAGCATTCTGCTGTCGTTTATCTTAAAAAATCAATAAGAAAAGACAGACAACATTGTAGCCTCAGCACTAATCTGAATCTTTGAGCTGGACACAGCACTGCGGAGCTGTGGTTCCAGCTACTCAGGAGGCTGAGGCAGGAGGATCACTTGAGCTCAGGAGTTCAAGGCCAGCCTCTATAACACAGCAAGATTCCATCTCAAAAAAAACCCCCCAATTTGTGAATATCATCTACTATATAGAATTTGTAGCTAATATTGAGGAAGACAAAAAGAAATCCACCCAATACCTTCTTCCTTTGGTTAAAGTAAACTTCTCAGGAGTCAGGAGAAATAGCAGTCTCCTCGTGACTTTGGGACCCGTGTCCTTGGGAGTCCCCACAGCAGCCCCAGAAGTGCAGCTAGAATCTCCACATGCTATTTCAGAAGGAAGGTGATGGCTTGGGTCTCCTCCAGGGGTTGACCAATTACACCACTGAACAGCTTTCACGTTGACTTTTGGGGGTTCAATCCAACAGCCTGATTTATTTGGTTAATGCTGTGTCACCATAGGTCACACATGGCCACCTGGCATCCAGCTGCATTTCTAAGCTAGACAGATGCAGGACGGGGGTTGGCATTCCAGTCCCCAGCTGTCTGTAGCAATTGCTGTGATAACCTGTGTGCCACCTTAACATGACGTCACTGTTCAGTCAGAAATACCATTGGCTAAGGGCTGATGCCCAGGACCTGCGGCCTGACTGTCAATCAAATCCTGATTTTCTCCACCTATTTCCTCTACAATTCACTGACTTCATTTATCTGGGTCTTCGTTTCCTTCATGTAAAGAGGGGACAGTAATACTAACACCTTCAGAGCCTCACTATGGCTACTAAGAGTTAATATATACACGTAATGTGTGTGCACACAGAAGTTAGCTGTTACTCTATCTTTTTCCCGTGGCTTGCTTCATACATTTGCAGATCATCCTCGTGCAGGAACCAGGCTAATCTCTGAAGTCTTCCAATGAGGCTGAAAGAGGCCACTAGTTTGAGGTTGCAAGGCCCACAGAATGAGAACTGGGATGTAAATGAGATCTGTGTTTTCCAGGCACCTGAACTCTCTCCTGTACTTTGACTCCTGATTACCTACGCTCACTATGGGCTTGTTGTTCAGAGGCAAATAAAATTATATTGAAAAAATTAATATATGAAAATGTGAATGAAAAGAAATATGTGGAGGAAAAAGGGGCAGTTGTTATTTGAAAAACTTGTGAAGTTAACATTGAGGGAATTGATGATCTTAGTTGGTATTTGTTGTTCTAATGAAAGAAAGAATCAAAACACCAATTATATTCAGGCACACAGAGTTGTACCTATGCATATATCTTTCTCTTGCTATGATGAAGCAAAGTAGTTCTTCCAACATGAATTTTTCCAGCCAAGAGTGAGCACACTTTGTATATTATAGACAGTGAATGGTATCTGCTTTGGTGATGCATAGTAAGACCATGCATACTAAATTGGGGATTTAGTCTTTTTTAAAATTTTCATACCAGGGATTGAACCCAGGGCCACTTTACCACGGGGAGCCCCATCCCCAGCCTTTTTTATATTTTATTTAGAGACAGGGTCTCACTGAGTTGCTTTGGGCCTTGCTAAGTTGCTGAGGCTGGCCTCCAACTTGCAATCCTCCTGCCTCAGTCCCCCCAAACTGCTGGGATGACAGGCGTGCACCACTGCACCTGGAATGATTTAGCATCTTTCAAAAGAACAAGTGTTTATGTTCCAGCTCCTT